AAAGTAGCAAGGTTCGTTTTGCGACTTTTGGGACTGAAAGAATCCGTCGTGTGTATTGTCCTGTAAAGGTAGGTTTTCTATATGTATTGGTGAGAAAACGAAAGTCATATTTTTTAACTAAAACGTCTAGGAACGTCTTAGTCCAGTTATCAACACTATTTTCAAGTTTTGAAGAACTCGACTTTCAATATCTACGTATCTATCTGAGCTGATGTTTCCATTTATGAACGTTATATTTTAAGATCTGTGCAAGAACTCAGCTAACAGATGTTTCCGTATATCAAAGCTATCTTGATGTTATTATCATTTAGATACTTAATTGTCAACCATTGGGTTTTGTTGTAATATACCACTTACTAACAGACATTTTGAAAAACATTCTCACATTAAACTTTCCTTTAGCACTAATATGAATAACAAAAGGAGCGCATCATTAAAAGGGGAGGCATGTTCATACATCCGTGCTTTTAACTTTTTTATTTCCTGCCTCAAAAATACTTCATATACTACTTGATATCCACTAAACTTATATATACATATAAATTCACACATTCAGTCTACATATATAACCACTTCTACAAATACATTAAAACCGTTTTAATCACATATTAATTAATAACTCCTTTTATAAGACTGCTCGTTAAGAGAATAAGATTCCGACAATATATATTATTCGGTTTCAACCGGTTTCTCTGCTACTAATTCAAAATACACTTCTAATATACTACAAAACTCGAAATAATGGGTATTTGTTTAGTTCTCATAAGTAAGTTGTAGCTATGATCAATCCTTTTACTCTTTAAACAATAGAGTAAAAATGTTTGATGTCTATTAGTGTGACACAGTCGTTTGGAAATGCATTATACTTTGAAAGCAATGCATATAATTTAAAATACATATATATATTTGAATTAGCACAATAAGAGGTAGCTGATCATTTGAAAGGATGTAAAAATCGAGAAAATGAACATGCATTATTTAATAGCTTACAGAGTTTCACTTGTGATAATGAAGAGATACTCCTCAAATATTTCCAAACCTCTCTAGATTATCGTTTATGCTAACATACAGCGACGTTTTCTACACCATAACTCTATCATATTTATGTTCCTGAAATGGATAGAAACGTTTAGTTTGATATCATTAAATTTTTATTTTTACTTTCGTTAAAACACGTCACAAAAACCAAATATATATATACATATGCACACATATATGCAACATAATAGTAATTAACAGAGAATGACAAAAGTTTCACTTACTGAAGCTCAAGAATAAGTTCTGCAAAACTAACTATAACTGCCATATTTGACATAATCACCATATGGTAGTTTCATACAGAAGAAAAGAAAACATATCGTTATTTATGCTTCTTATATTGATACAATCTAAAGTATTTATTCGGTTAAGTATTGATAATTACATTTATACACCATTTTATTTTATTTCAAAGTGAGTTGTGATCATCGTACAAAATGTGTATAACGATCGCGTTTTCTACATTTTAAATTAGTCTTTCACAGGCAAGTTGTTTTATTTAATGATGACATTTTTATAGCATATTAATTAGTTATTAATGTTCTTGTGCTTTGTAATTTTGAAATCCAGAGTGTGAATGTAATCTTACTTTTATCGCGAAAAATATATAATGCACTGTTAGAAAATATAATACGCCTAATATCGATATCTTATGAGAAGTATAATTAAAAATAATTAATCGTTCACGTTCGTAAAATTAGTAAATTAGCTAATTAGTTCAAAGATCTTTTCAAATGTTACTGTAGTTTTGGTCTAAAGTGATATATATTTCATGAGAATCGCTTAGGCTTTGTGAGTCATATACACTACGAAAAATATGGGTTATCTTTATCAACTTTGGAGAAGCATGCGTTAGAGCTCATGTATGATGAGATTATGGTAAATTACGATACATTTACAAAGTTTACATTTTGTGAATATGTCTAATACAAAAGTTAATAACTTATAAATAAATTCTACACAAAAATGTGATAAGTATTTGTTAGTGAAAATACGTAATCAAAGTATTCTACTTAAAATTTTTGACAAGAATTTTTTAATTGTCTATAGAAAAAAAATGAGTATAAAAGAAAGAAAAATAAAATTTGAATACATTATTATGGAATCAATCACAACAATATTCGTTTATCTGCTCAAATTTATTTTATTAATTATGAAAAATCTCTTAGGACTTATTTGTAAATGCATCATTCAGTATTAATTTTCACATTTATTAAATATCTTGTTAGAACATAAAATATCCAAGAAACTTGTCCGGATGAAAGTATTTCCTACAATAATATCAAATTTATTACCATAAAACTGTAGAACTGAGATTAATGATAAAAACACAGAATACATTTGGGTTTAGTATAGATATGAGTGTATTTAATAGATTTTTTAACACTACAGATAAATATTTTTACTCATATCACAATGTTATAATTAGTTAAGTACCATCTTTTTTTCATTGGCATTTTGGGTAATGTAGATCTTGATGGGTTGGAATTTTTAAAACATCACCCTCAACAGATAATACTGTTTTTTTTTCTGTCCTAAGCTCTTTAACTCAGCATGTTCTTATGCCTAATTAACTTGTCTAGATTATTTATTTGTCTTGCAGGTGATTAGCTAACCTAGATACTTAACTTTATTTAGTCTATAAATTATTTAATTAGAGCTGTTAAATCTAATTGACTCAGATAAATCGTTTAAGTGGTTCTTAAGCCCAATAAGCTCGACTAGCTTTCATAACTTGTTCCTCTGCCCAAACATCTCGAGTATGTTATTTAACACACACAACAGTTTGATTAACTATGTTAGAGTATTTATTTTGCTCAACAGCTCAACTAATACGGCTAGATTATCTAACTTTTCATTTATCCTAATTAATTCAGCGCAGTTAACTGCGCTAGATTACTCAACTTTTCCTTCAGTTCAATTATCCAAATGTCACGATCCTCAGTACGGTTAACTTTGGTCAGATTACTCTATTTTATCCTTCAGTCCAATTAACTGCATAACACGCTTCTCAGCACAGTTAAATGAACTAGATTACTCAACTTTTCATTCAATTCAGTTATCAAAATAACACAAGTCTCAGGGTAGTTAACTGGTTCAGATTACTGAATTTGTCCTTCAGTTCAATTAAATGAATAACATGCTTCTTAGCGCAGTTAAATGGCTACATTACTTAACTTGTTCTTAATTCAATTAACTCGGGTTTCTAGGTTAACATGTTAATTAGATCAATTTACTTGGCAATGCGATATTACTTTTTTAAAAAAAAAAAAGAGGATTAACTCGGCTAAATTATTTGTCCTTAAATGTAATTAATCCGGCTGACTTATATTTTAATTATTCATAAGCATAATTTCTTCAAGTTGATTATTATTAAACTTGCTTGAAAATCTAGTTAACCCAACCATATTTGTTAACTTATATAATTAACTTATTTCTTCAATCCACTCAGCTGGACTGATAATATAACGAGAGCTTCAGTTCAATCAACTAGGCTTACATATATTATTTCTCTGTAAGCCGAGTTATCTCGGTCAGATTATTCTACTGATTCCTCAGCTCAAATATCTTAACTTGCTTCTTAGCTGAAATAAATAAGTTAGATTATCTAACAGTTTTGTTTTTCAGCTTAGCTATAGCTTGGCTTATTCTTTATAACGCCAATAATTTAATTCACTCGGATAAGTTATTTGAAATTACTATCAACTAAATTAACTCGGTTATACAATAAAGCTTGTTCTTCAGCCCAATACATGGAAAACTGAATAATCAGGTAACTTGAAAGACGCACGGTTAAAGAAAATCACATATATTCGACATATATAAAGAATTTGAAGACATTTTGCGATACTTTCTCCTCCATTTTTAGATAGGAAAAGAGTTGTTGAAATGTTTCATTTTTTGGCCCTCTTCCCTATAGAAGAATTATTTCAAAGAATTAACCCACAGCTAAAGTTCTCAGCAAAATACACCGATCTTTAAGCATTGGTGGATTAAATTATGTGAATAGAGTTTTCTGTATACAATATCAATAGTTTGACATCTTATAGTATCTATGTGCAGTATACTAGTGTGTACAGTAGGTAAAAAAGAGAGCGTAAAACCGATCTGTTGAAGATCTTTCTTCTTTAAAAAATAAGATTAGGACTTAAACGCTTATGAAAGTCATTCATCGCAATGCCAACTATTTAATTCAGAAAAGTAAGGCTTTAACACATATATATTTTTGAGTATGATGGGTTAGTTCAAAACATATGTACAATGTGAATTTTCCAAAGCCATATCTTACGTAAGATATTGCAACACCAAACTATAACATCATCAAGTGCTGTATTTACACCATGCGTAATACTGAATCTGTGTCTCCAAAACTTAATTTTATTCCACGAACATAAAATAAGGTGTATAGCTAAGTAACGTTAATGTTCAGGCAGTTCAAAAGTGCTGACAGTTACTCTGTTTTAAACGTAACGTAACGTAAACCCTAGTAAACTCCATGTAAATTCTGCATAGCATATTTTTTTATGTATACTATGTACACATTGCTCAAATATATTGAGGTTTAATGTGCATTCTTCAAATAAGTCTAGGCTGATCAATAATGTTAAATCTGAAAACGCAAGCAAATTCAATCACTGAATTTAACATGAATTGAAGATATCACATATATACTTCGGATTTATTATTAAATATATATATATATGAACATGTAGAGATCCTAACTGTGGAACACTGTACTTCGTATACTTCTCAATACGTTAAGGATGCTTAATAGCTTTAGTTACATATTGAATTCATCATTTCACAAGTTCAATATTACATAATTTATATACAGTTATATACATTTTTATAGGTTTAGTTTTATGAGAAACAATTCCAAATAACAGATATATTCATGACTTTTATAACCCTATTGTAAGCGATATTGAATTAAGGTGGGGCATCAGCTACTGATAAGACAAAATACTTAAGTGTTTTATAGTTGACATATAAATCCTTCCATTTTCTTTGTTGTGGACTATATAATATACTTTATTACATAACAAAGCCTGGAGGTTGTGAATAATAGTCAGCTTCCCGCATGCCTTTTGTAAACTATAAATAAATGTTCTACTCCGTTTCATTCCCACTCTCACAGGAAGGTTGTTACTGGAGCTCCTTCACATCATTAGGAACTGAGCAGCATCGGGAAGTGTGTTGCTCTTACTTTAGTTTCAGCTTTCTTCTGGGACTCTGCTCTTAATGTTCCCTGTGGGAGTTAAAAACGGCATATTTAATACTTAGTCTTTACATACAATTCATGTTACATTAGCAAGCAAAAGGAAAAAAAACAACTAACAGAAACATATTTAACCAATACACTGGTATACATTTGTTTTTTCAGCTGAAAAAACAAGACAGAAATACGAATCTATAAAAAAGTAGAAAACGTCTTAAAAAATTACTTTGCATGACCTGAAACATTTGTGAGATCATATAAAGGACAGAGATGTGCTTAGAAATAATACACATAATTCAACATTTATGAAATCATATAAAGAACAGAGATGGGCTTAGAAATAATATAAATAGCTTGATATTTTTCTTTGTGCGTCTTCCAAAAAGAGAAAAGAAAAAGGTTTTATTCAACTTTAAACACTCTTCCGGGTGAGGAGTATCAATGATTACTGAATAATTCTTACTAGTAAATAACTTTACAATTTAACTTAACAATGGGTCCTTGAACAACGTAAACTAGTAATCTGACGTGATTGCTCTTGTTCTAAAAATCCTGTCAGTGGAGAAAGAATTAAGTTTGTCAAAATTAATCCGTTTGTAGGTAGGGAATATTCGAAAGTTAACAATTGGACTCCTTTTAAGATTTTAATATTTAGTATTTTGAACTTGAACGACAACTTACGTTACACATGGGCTAAAAGGATAGGCCGGAGGCCCCAAGGTCCAGGCAATGCCATCCCTGAGGAGGGGGGGGGGGGGCAGGCAATAGTACTAGACTTAAATAAATGCCATGTTTATAACATGCCCACAGCTGAAATGCGAAGCGTCTTCAGTAGCATATTGCGGGCTCGAACCGTGGATCTTCGCATCCATAATCCTACACACTAACTATTAGTCAACGTTGGGCCCCACCTGATAAGAATCTCCCAGTATACAATAAATCAAATTCCTAGTGTAAGTAAAAATAATCTCTTGATAAGTAACAAAAATCAACAAGAAAACACTTGAAAATATGCATAGTATAGAGCAAAGCATCTCAGCATAGGGAAAAGCGATAACTCAAGCTTGGGAAATAAAAAATACTGATAGGGAACAAAGAAAACTGGTAGTGGTAAACAATGAAGATTCCTAGTAAAGAGTAAAGGAACCTCTGTAAAGGGACAAAATAAATTACCGATAGAAAATAAATAAGACCCATGCTGGGGACAAAAGAAAGATCCCAGGAGAGAAAGAAAAAACTACTGTTCAATAACATAATGGTTCTTTTTGTAAATAGGGACAACAAGAAATGTTGGAAGTAAAAGCAGAGCAGTTGGAAGAGAATGAATGTAGTTCCTAATATGGTAAAAAAAATAATTTCTGGTAGTAAACAATTGTAATAGAAAACTCCTAGAAAGAAACTACAAGAAGGTAAAGAGTAAGAATTAAGGTATAGAACAAAGGAGACTTCTAGAAGGTAGCAAAATAATCTACTGAAAGGGAATAAAGGCTTCTTTTACGAAACAGAGGATGGTCCTGGTAGTAAACTAAGAAACTTTTAGTGGCGAAGAAAGGAAATTTCTTGTAGAGAACAACTAAAACTTTTGATATTCTTAATTTGAAAAGATAATGAATATAATAAGCCACGTAGCTTTTTAGAGACAAAATAAGTATAATATTTGAAATAAATATGAGCGTATAGGAGTGAAAACAGTTATCTAAAAATGTATCTATGTAGTGGAAACTGCCTAAAGCGGCATCCATGCCACATTGTTTGTAGCTCAACTTTCAATGCGAAATTCTGAATAGCGAGTCTGAATCTTGTATTCATAGTCTATTCGAAACGTTCTGTTAGGTTTCCAACAATTTCCCCCTTAAGCTTACAACAACATTTCAAACATTTGTTATTACAACCTGTTTCGTACGTGAAGATAAGTTTTGAGTTGCACAATTGTCTACCAATATAAAGTTAAGATGTGACGAACATTTATTCTCTGAGAATCGAAGAAGCTGCATAGGTGTAAAGAAATAAGGAAGTATAGAGATAGAGTGAACTTACTGTAACCTAGCTATCAGAAGAGTACGAGCAGTAATAAGCTGTAACGACACCCGTTACTCTGTGTGTTCAGAATACGTTTAAAGTTCGATGACGAGGAACCCACTTTGAGACTAATAATGGCTGGAGACGGCTTAAATGGGTAATGAAGAAAAACTTTAATATAAGTTTAACATGACAGCAAATGTACAACGTTTCGACAAGGTTTTTGTCATCATCAGTTACCTGAT